CCGCTGCAGAAGCAGTGAGGTCTATGCAAGCATGGCGGGCGTAAAGCTGTCAGAGCGGCTGGAAGAAGCGGAGGCCCCCTCTTCTCAAGGTGAAGCAAGTTTGGCTCGTCAGGGGGCTATCCAGGAGTCCCTTGTCTCAAGTTTAAGAAAGTTTGGGGAGGTTCAAGATGTTGTTTCTGGAGAACAGAGCTGCCCCGACTCAGGCTCAACTATTGCATGTGGTCGAATCGCTCTGCTTCTGGTGAGAAAGACTGCTGTTTAAAATGGTGTTGCATTTGGGATTGAATGAAACCTCCAATCCCACACCTGGATCCTCCTCCAGATGAGGCGCTTGGCACATTGTGAGCCCTGAATCAGCGTTTCTGGATGGATTGAGTGGTTCGTTCAAGGTCACGCAGTAAGTGTCAGAAGTGAAATTCCAACCCAAATGCTCACGGAATCCAGATCCCAACACCCAGGGAGCTTTGGGGCCCACAAACTTTCCTGTGGCCGTGGCAGGAGCCACAGCTGCAGTCTGACCAATCAAACTCTCTCCTTCTGCCTGAGAACACCCAAGCAGTGATGAGGTGCTGAAGGACAGACAACCTCGTTCCTGACTTGTGCTCTGGGTGTTCATGAGGAAAATCCTGGATGTGAACATGGAAACTCGCCAAACCAGTCATATGGAAGTGGACAAGTCACGTTGCGAAAAAGTCTTCTTTACAAAAGGCTTCCCCCAAGCTGCAGTTCACCGGTGCTTTTAGATGTTGGGTCTACAGGCCATCAGCTAATGGGCCCGTCAGTATGACCTGGTGCGCGTGGGCATCTTGGGGGGACAAGGTGTCTGGTTAACAAAGCAAGGGTACAAGTTGCAGCTGAGAGGCCAGGTTCAGTCAGACGGAGATGCGTGCTGGTGAAAAACAGGATTTGCCAAAGGACCCCTGCCCACTCCTTTCAAGGAAAAGAGCCATAGAGGCATTCAGACCATAAGCCAAAGGGCATCCAGACAGTTACTGGGCGGGAGGTGAAGACGTGGGGGAGCTGCTGTTTCTCAGGAAGATTTGGGTGCTGAGTGGTCTTGGAGGAGGGGAGCTAGAGCACCTCACTCCTCTCGGCAGGCAGGGGAGGACTGCCGGGGCAGAATGGCGCATAAACAGGCAGACACAGCAAAGTCCAGGCTGTTTCTGAATAGCTATTTTTCTTTGTCACAATGGAAGGTTCAGTTTCAATGAGTTTATTTCATAAAAGCTGGTGGCTTGAAAAATCCTTAAAACATAAGCTTTGACCGCACCAGAATGTTGGTAAAACTAGGAAGAGTTTAATGTTGGGTTCATTTTCTATCCATAAGTAAATTAGCACAACTGTGTGACCAACAAGTCACCTGCCAGAGGGGAAAGTGGGAGTTTTCTACCCTCCCCCCATCAGTTCCCTTGGTGTTTCTATCATTCAGTGACATGGTTGTGCCAAGGCTAGGGTGGTGGCACAGGATTGTGGGATCAGTCACTAAAGGGAGTTCACTAATGAGACCTAGATCTATCTAAGAACAAACAGCGTGGCAGGGCAGGGGGCGGGGAGGAGAGAGACAGAGAGAGGGAGACAGAGAGAGGGAGACAGAGAGAGAGAGACAGAGAGAGACAGAGAAAGAGAGAGAGAGAGAGAGAGACAGAGAGAGAGAGAGACAGAGACAGAGAGAGACAGAGAGAGACAGAGAGAGACAGAGAGAGAGAGACAGAGAGAGAGAGAGACAGAGAAAGAGACAGAGAGAGAGGAAAGGGAGAGACAGAAAGAGCCAGAGAAAGAGAGACAGAGAGAGAG